AGGGAGGGAGGGAGGGAGGAAGGAAGGAAGGAAGGAAGGAAGGAAGGAAGGAAGGAAGGAAGGAAGGAAGGAAGGAAGGAAGGAGAGACAGATTGAGAGAAAGAAAGAGCAAGCCTGAAATAATATGCCTCCATCATTATAAGGAAATGGAAAACTGAAGAGCTGCAGAATTTCGATCTCTATGCACTATAAGGAAAGTTATAAAATCCTCAGCATTAAAAGTCTTACACCCACATGATTTCATCCTGAACACGCCTGTTTATACCACAACCTACTCAATTCTCTAAACATGAGACTCATCCCTGAAGTAAAAAGAAGTGTAAACGAATTCAAGTAAATAACCTTTAAATTGTTATTATAGATTTCCTAAAACCTAAATAATGAACACCACAAGTACAAAAGCTGCTTAAAACTATGGACTTTGGGAGATGATAGTGTTGGTGCCAAGTGTTAATGGTAAGGGGAGGCTATGAACCTGTGAGGACAAGGAATATGCAGGAACTCTGTTTTCTGCTCAATTTTGCTGTGAACCCAAGAGAGTGACAGTAAAAAAAAAAATACTAAAAACACTAAGAGCCCATTTTTCTCTTTAAAAAATATTAACAGGAACAATTACACTGATGAAGAAACATTAAATTTACAAGACTATATACATGGTAAAAAGTGTTGCATTCTGTTATAGTATTTGTATATCAGAAATACTTTATATAGAAATTGTTTGCTTGGGTGTTTTTTGTTTTTTGTTTTGTTTTGGTTTTGGGTTTTTCAAGACAGGGTTTTTCTATGTAGCTCTGTGCCCAGGCTGGCCTCGAACTCACAGAGATCCTCCTGCCTCTGCCTCCTGAGTGCTGGGATTAAAGGCATGGGCCACCACCGCCTGGCTAGAAATTGTTTTTTTTTTTTTAAAAAAAAAAAAAAAAAAAAAACTCTTCACCTTGCTCAATATGCTTGGCAAAGATTAATATATGAATAAAAACTAGAGCCTTCTATCAACAAAGGCAAATTACTGGGAATTAAAATGTATTATCTTTGATTTTTACTAGGTAATATTACTAAATTATTAAATCAGGACTTACTAAATTATTAAACCAGGACATGCATGTCTATTCATATAAGAATTCATCATAAAACACAAAAGTATTATCTTAAACAAAAAGCTCAGAACATGAGTCAATTTATTTGCAACTGTATATATGTAAAACTATGTACACAAAAAATAAAACTTTAGTGTAGGTATGTTTACATTAAAGCATCCTACCCACCCAGAACTGGACTTCTAATTTGTAGCAAAGTCCTCTCTATATATGACTGGGCAGTAGTGGCGCACGCTTTTAATCCCAGCTCTTGGGAGGCAGAGGCAGGTGAATCTCTGTGAGTTCGAGGCTAGTCTGGACTACATGAGCGAGTTCCAGGACAGCCACAGTGGTTACACAGAGAGACCCTGTCTCGAGAAAATAAAAAAAAGAAAAGTCCTCTATATGTTCTGCTTTGATTTCAGTCTAAACTACTATTATTGTCATTTAATTTTTATTGTAAAGTCAAGTTTTTCTTTAAGAAACTTCTCATGTCATTAATTAATTCACTGTCCACTGAAGAGACTTAAGTTCAAGTCTCAAGAAAGCCCTTTCTCAAAGAACTAATGCTTGATCCAATTATACTATCAATACCCATAATTATTCTTCTTCTTTTATCTTTTCATGAATTAAGGACAGACACAATTACAACCTCCAAGTTCTTCACTAGAGATCTTTGACATCCAATGTCTTGTAACAATTTACGTTAGGAACTGTTTTAGAATAGATTTGCTTCTCATTTACTGACACCTCATGCTTCTCTTAACAAGAATCAATTCAGATTATACTCCTTCCTAAAATATCACAGTTAAGAATACTATGGCTCTGTAGAATATGCCAACACTACATTGAAATGAACATCCATTCACTATAAGACTTCAACTCCATAACTCATGTTCAAGATAAGCCTCGTTATCATCACCATCATTCTAAGTGATCATATTTCCTCTTGTACGTGCCAAAACTCATACTAAAAAATGAGTTATTGGTTACACAAGATGCTTTATTTTTGCACCTGTCTTTCAAGCCTTTGTCCACCAGCTGAATAAAAACACCTACCTTTGTTTTTAAATGTATTAGGTTCTGGAACTAGAGAGAGGGCTCAGCTGTTAAGAGCACTAGCTGTACCCAGTGCTAGGGGGACAGAGGCAGATGTATCTATGACATCAAGGCCAGCCTGGCTTCCAGAATGAGTTCCTGGACAGATACATGAGACCCTGCCTCAGAAATAAATAAATAAATAAATAAATAAATAAATAAATAAATAAATAAAATAAAACAAAAAACAACAACAACAAGCTGCTTTTCAGAAGACCCAGAATGAATTCCCAGAACTCACATGGTGGCTCACAACTGTCTGTAACTCCAATCCCTGAGGATCCATCACCCACTCCTGGCCTCTAGGCACACTGGGCACACCAGACACACACACACATGGCACACACACATCACACACACACACACACACACACACACACACATACACACACACGCAGGCAAAAGACTCATACACAAAAAAAATTAATAAATCTCCTTAAATATATTTGTATTTGTGTGTTGGGGGGACACCCATGCAGGTGTGCAGGTGGAGGTCAGAGGACAACTCTATGGAGTCAAACCTTTCTCTTCCTCTGTATGTGAATTCCAAGGATCAAACTCAGTTCACTAGGCTTACGTGGCAAGTACGTTTACCCTTTGAACCATTTCGCCAGCTCTTAAACTTCTTTTTTAATATTTTCTGGCAAATCTACAATAATTTACAATTGTAAAAAAATGCTTTTATTCCTGGGTTTTATGTTCTTGCATTTGTTTCATAAACACATTTTGCTTTTCCTATTCTTGATGTTCTATACAACTGTTAAAAAAAAAAAAAGGTTGCCAAGGGCTGGAGACATGACTCAGAGATTAAGAGAATGTACTGTCCATGAAGAGGACCAAACTTCAATTCCCAGAACCTAAGTCAGCTGGCTCACAATCACCTAAAATTCCAGTGCCAAAGGATCCAAAAGCTCTGGCACCTGTGGGCACCCATATTCGCATGCACATACCCACCTACCACACACATACAAAAATAAAATTTTTTAAGTTGCCTAAATAAATGGCTCTTCCTAAAATCTTACAAAAACTGGCATGTCTTATTTTACAAAGAAAAATAAGGAGCCAATGAGGTGGCACAGCTGATTAGGGAGTTTGCTGCAAAGTCCAATGACTTGAGTTCAGGCCCTAGTGCTCACACAGTAGAAGGTATACTCTCTGACCTCCACATGCTCATGCATGCCCCCCCCCACAAAGATTGACACACAAAATACATGTGAAAAAATGAAAATAAGCAAAATAGGCTATATTTTTAAAGTTTTATTTTACGTCATCTAATAACCAAAAAGTTTTCTAGTGGTATTCTATTAGTCTTTAATGATTTGTAGATGGCATCCTATTGATAAGAACTGAAATTTCCAGGAAAAAAAAAGTTGCACCTGTGTTAAAGATTCTCCAAGACAAACTGAATTAGAAGTTCATGACTTGAGAGAGCCAAATTTCTGACTACTTTTAGTCCCCTTAATAGCCCAGCTCTGTTTGACCTAACAGCCTTATGACTATCAGAATGTACAGAGATCCCAAGCTTACTGCTACCACCAACAGGCTAAATATCATCAGAGAGCATCTGATGGCTATAGCACAAGTTCCCTGCTTTACTGTAATCCACCTGATCTGCTGTTTCCGACAAAAAAAAAGGTGTGTTGGTTTATGACTTTCTTTGTTCTGCTAAATAAGCACATGCTAACTAACTAAATAAATGCAAAGATCTCATTCAGCTGTTACCACACTGGAAACTAGTTTTAAAAAACCTAAATCCGTGTTCTTGGGCCATAATCACTCACTATATAGCCCACATTCATCTCTCAAACCCCCAATCTTTCTAACTACAGCATTCAGAGTGTTAGGATTATAGGAATGTACTACCACACATGTCCAAACTTAAGTAAATTATAAATTGTTCAAAAAGTCAGTAACAGGGGCTAGAGATGATGGCACAGTAGTTAAAAGAGGAGGAAGCCACTCTGGTTCCAAGCACTCACAGCAGCCCATAACTACTTATAATTCCAGCTCCAGGGGCTCATCATCCATCTCTGGTCTCCCCAAGCACCAAGCATGCACAAGGTGCACATACAGAATGGAGGCAAGTACTCATACACATAAAACAAAAATTAGCCGGGCGGTGGTGGCGCACGCCTTTAATCCCAGCACTCAGGAGGCAGAGCCAGGCGGATCTCTGTGAGTTCGAGGCCGGCCTGGGCTACCAAGTGAGCTCCAGGAAAGGCGCAAAGCTACACAGAGAAACCCTGTCTCGAAAAACCAAAAAAAAAAAATCTTTGTTAAAAAAGAAATTAAAATATTTATGGATGTAACTACATAGGTAAATGTAAAAGACATTATTTT